ATTATGGTCATTTTTTAAATATTTTTCTTAAATAAATATCAGGTAGATCGTCACAATTATTTATATAATACTTTAGAGTACAATTTCAGTATAGTCCAACCTTGCAAAAAAGAAATATAATTTTAACGTAATTTTTACTACAATATTTTCTTCATATATTGGACAGAGAGTAATTAATTAAGGATAGCAAGAGAGCAAGTAGGGATTAACGCGTTTGTGTAGAAAAGTAGAAACAGTATATCATCACATAGTTATCTTACTCCGCAGAGGAGGCTGAAGAAACTGCGACAAAGTCGCTAAATTAAAAAAAAAAAAGAAGAACGAAAAAAGAAAGAAAGCGTCTACTAAATAATTTCCGAATAATTTCGCCCACTTCAAATCGCGAAATCGGCCGTGAACGCTTCTGTGGGCAAATGCAACGTCTTCGAACGTTGTGCCACAGATCGAGAGAAAGGAAGCCCCGCGCGCTGTACGATCGGTAGTTCTGCTCCTTCTCCAAGCTCGCGTCGCCTCGTTCGCTCGCGAATTCGCGACGTGTTACGAATTCCGCACACGTCACATCGATGTTATGCCGCCGCGAAATATCGTCGCTACGCCTACGCGCGCGTTCCGTGCGCGCCGTCGTCGGCGATTTCGCGCGGCAACTCGTCTCGAAGAGTCGCGCTCGTCGTGCGCGAAGCTTGTCGAGCAGTCTCCTTAAACTGCGAAACACGAATTAGCCTTTTGTGCCTTGCGATACACTCTCGGCACGGCTCGTTCTCTCGAAACGCTGTTAATGAGCCTTACAAAATTAAGTTATGAAACTGATTGCGCGGAATAACCTAACAGGAACACGGCTTGGCCGAAAACGTCGTTGAATTGAAGGTGAGGTTTTTTACTCGGATTTTGCAACATGTCGGAAGGCAGAGAGATCATTACGTCATCTTTATCACACTGTTTCATTTACATCGGCTCGGGTGATATCCCACGTTATCTCACATTACGAGACACCGACGTCCGGTTGTATATCCTAAATTTATGCTGAACGCCGCTTAAATATATCCCCCGGCCGCAAGACAAATGAATGTGTCACCGGTTTCTGATTTTTACATTCTGACGCATACGGCGCATAAATTAAACACAGCATTCCAATGGCATTCCGATGGCTTGTTTTTTGCGGGCACAAAAGATCAGTTCTCTGGCGCTGGCCGGGATTGAAATATTTATCCTCGGAATTCCGCGTCGCGGAACACTCGGCGACAAACGTACAATCTAAATGAAGTTCGGCCGTTATTTTGCCGGAGGAACATGTTAAATATTCATCGACGCGCACGATAACGTTACGCCGAGAATTGTTCGATCGCGGCGCGCATCCGGATCTAACCTTTCACACCCGCCTTTGCCGCCTTTGACAGGCAAATTCTTATTCGGAATTTGCCGTATCATCGTCGGCCGCGGCATATGCGCGCCTCATAAAGTAATCAGACACTTATGCCTAATATAATCGTTCAAAAAATAAACGGCACTCATCTCTGGCGAGAAAGATCGATTATGCGAATGAAGACAGTGAACTGAAAACGTTGCTCTCGGAGCATATCGTCGGAACGTTTCTTTGAAATTCGTTTTTTGCGGTCTTCCGCGGGTTCCTTGACCCGCGCGAGCCACGAAAAAAGGCTCTCTGACTGCTCCGAGAGAAAGAGAGAGAGAGAGAGAGAGAGAGAGAGAGAGAGAGAGAGAGAGAGAGAGAGAGAGAGAGAGAGAGACAGAGAGAG